AAAATTCGATCTATCCTGCAATAATATGGAGTAACGATCCGAAACCAAGTGAGTGTTCAATCGATTGATTTCAGCGAGGTTGTGTAGATGGTCAACACTTTGGACCTAACCTAACCTAACAGTAGGAATGAACAACGATGTCTAACATGCCTTCTCACAGGTAACTGAATCATCATATGCAGAGACTCGGACTGTCGAAAGACAGTGTGTGTCGCCTCTGTTTGGGAAATGATGAAACAGCAGGGCACATACGTTTGACCTAACCTAACCTAACCTAACCTAACCTAACCTAACCCAACCTAACCTAACTCAATTAATGATAATTATACCTGAATTCAGGCACAAACTGATGGAAAAATTCAAACATTGTTTTAAATATTTGACATGGTAATCAAATGGTCATGTGATAAACTGATTACCAATTTCGACATTTGAAAACAAACCTAATTCACAGATTTCTTAAACCTATTAATTTCTAAACATTCCAAAAACATATCTTTTTGAAATGTTACACATCATGGTTGTAATTGAACTCGTGTCCTTCTGCTAAAAGATGATTTGCAAATGTGGAATTGGTCTTTACATTCAAGAAACACTTCCTTCAGGGCCGTCGCCATGGGGGGGGATGGGGGCTCTCCCCTGCTTTTTCGACTTGGGAAAAAGTTGGTAAATTTTTGACCATGAAGATAGAAAAAAATNGAACATTTTGTTTACGACCAGTGAAACTGAGGCGCCAGCCGCGTTGATTGAAGTGGATTGAAGTTGATATGTTGGAGTAATCGTAGGTTCAGATAAAACTAATTGCAAACTTTTTTATAAATTTTATTTTTTCTGTTCAATAAATTAATCCAAGATAATGTTGCTCATCTCATGCTCTCATACAACTTTTTGTTCATAATTACTCCAGTTCGTAAGTACACTTAATGGTATCCATAGGAGACTCCTTTTCCAAAACCTATAAATAAAAATAGAAAATTAGAGTAAATAATTTCCGAAGGAATTCATTCAAAAAATATTTCATTTTCATTGAAAAACAATAATTCAAATTGAGTTATCTTGATAAATTCATAAGAGAATTTGTTTCAATTTGAACTTTCTTTATAAATGATAATGATTATAAAAGTTTAATCAACTTTCTGAAATATTTAATTCCTAATAAAAATCAGTACAGTAATTGAATGTTGTTGAATAAACTTGAGCAGGATGAATTCCACTAAAATGAGTTTGTACTTAAAGGTTTTCTGGTTTTTGTAAACGTAACAACTGTGCCTGTACTGTGGAATAGACGTTAAGAACTAATTCATAATCATCATGAATTACTGAACCGAAACGTAACTACAATAAAACAAGAAAGACTATGAGAAAGATCCCATACATCAAAACGATCTAACTACTTTGAAATATTCAATACGGAAAAATTTGAAATGTTAGCTATGTTTGATATTAACTACCGTTGATTAACTTCCAATCCAGAAGTGTCTCTTCAAGTTAAACAATGAATTTTTTGAATAATTTTTCAACTATATTCAGGAAATAGTTCAAAACGAGATGTTTCATATGTTTCAGGTGGAGGATTGAATATTTTCTATAATAAGTAAGATGAATTTAGAATGGTCACATTTCTTTAATTTTGTATTGTTTGGGCAAATCTATTTCCTTTATGTCTTGTTTCATATTCAAGGTTTAATGTTTTCAGCACAGATTCACTTTTGTAAAGTTTATTTAATGCAAGGTGAGTGATAACAAGAATGATTTTGAATTTTCGTCGTGAGTTCGATCCCAACCTCGACCAGATATTTTTCTCAAGAGATTTTTATCCAGTTGAAGCTGGGATGATTCTGCAACGTTAACATGCATTTCAATGTTTTTGTAAAATTACTTTTGTGGATATTCGAGCTGAGGTGTCTATCTATTATAACTGCTACGTATTTTATATCGTTTCGAGAATGTATACTACTTTTATATTTCTATTATGTTTGTCCAAGTTTGTCCAAGGTTAATTGGTGATATTTTTTAACAAAAAACAATTGAATTTGATTTTTAGATCAGTTTCTGTGCTGAAATTCAATTGAAATGTCATGCTCAGAGATACATTCTTCTGCAACTCTTATAATTACATATTATTTCGTATTTCACAGTTGAATGGGGGTATTTCAGGAGAGAAACTATGTTTCGAGTGAGTTTTCCCTTAACTGGATTCACTCTACTAGGGGTAACCCTCAAAAGTTCTGGAAGCTAAGAGTTAACGAGGATTGGCGTTAAGCCCCATTGCTTTCTTTACTTCTTAAGAAATGATTGAGGATAGAGCTCACATCCAGCAGAGATTTATTGTACCAGCCGACTACAGTACCGAACAGGAACATAACAGAAACACAACATCAAAACTGTTTTCGAACCCAACAAGAAGATTTAACAAAGTTTTGAAGACAAAAAGGATCCACTATCAGCAGCATACAGTGCACTTGTGGAAAGGTATACATCAGTCCCGCCAAAAGATCCATGACAAGACTGAAGGAGCACGTTATTGACAATTTACTGAGTCCAGGTACAGGTATCGTCACACCAGATTACCTGAATCAATATTAACATGCTTTACGTAATTTACCTACAGGTACAGGTATTAGCACACCAAACTACCTGAAGAGTTAACATAATTACGCGTTACGCGACACAGTCATCGGATATATTAACCCAGGATATTTAAACCTCTGAGGAAGGTAGCCACTCGCGAAAACGAAACGTCAAACCCGAAAAATGGTGATACTAAAAACTTTGGCTGCGAATGCCTCAACTATTTTGTCGACTACAGAATCGGTCAATATAACTGTCATATTACTCGTATTACTCAAATATATTTAGAACCATTTATCTGCATCTGTCCGGCTAAGATGTCTGCTTTAGTGCGGCAGGCCGGTTTGAATTCAAGATTCGAGAGTAGAGAGGGCATCATTCCACCAAGGACTCCAATAATCAGAACAATCATCTTGACACAGTGGTCTGGATAGAGTCTGCGGAGTTCGAAGAGAAAATCTCGATATTTTATCCATTTCTTCTCCTCTTTTTGGACGATATTCGTCTCGCTAGGAGCTGAAAACTCCACGACAAATATCGTCTTGCCCTGGTGGTCGTGAAGGACATCACGCTTGTTAGCTTGTATGAGCCTGAGGGTGGGGACCAAATAGTTCCAATAAATTCGGTAATTCTCGTTCCCCACAACGGATTCAATATCCCCCGGAGCGTAGGGCAACACCGGTGTCTCGTTAATACCATAGGAGTGCCGTGGATGGTAATATAGCACTCTTAGGGCCGCGTTATGTCGATGGATATGGCCGAGACCGCATATGCTGAACATGTTGATAAAAAGTTTATTAGCGTCTCGGACGCCTCGCGACAGGCCCTGCAGCTTGTGTCAGGAACCTCTATAACCATCACGCGACTGCGTTAGACTAAGGTGTTGAAGACACCATCCTGGCAAGCCATGATGAACCTCTCAGTTTTCGACTTCAGCCCACTCGACCTGAGCAAAAGTCAGGCGCTTTGATAAGCCAAGGTCTCCAATGTTATTGAAGAAGACCCCATGCATTGGCTTCTGTGTTTCCACAGAAGTGGGGTTATCTCTGCGGCTTTCATATGAGCTTTTTGCTGAACGGGTTCCAACTCGGTGACAGAGTTGTTGTCACCTTGCTCAGTGTCGAGAACTTTACCGAGTTCATCAGCTGCTCGGGCAGCTGCCCTGAAGGAAAATGCTCCAATTCCTGCTCTCTTATGGTCACGGGCCATGCAGAGAAGGGGACCCGAACTCCTGACGACTTTACAGGCTGTATCCAGTACCATTCTGCCATGTAGACATTTCAAACTCAAAAGTCCACAGCCTCTCTGTTGTCGGGGGAAGTTAAACCGTGAAACGGACGATTTGAAATGCAAACTCCTATAGAGATGCATCAATTTTTGGGTCTTTACGTTGAGTTGATGCAGCTCCTCCTGAGTCCACTTCGCTACTCCAAACGAGTAGAGTAAGATTGGAACGGCAAGCATATTTGTTGCAGCAACTTTGTTCTTCCCCGACAGTTCCGATGACCAGATCTGTCGAAGTTTGTGCTGATACTTGCCGCGAAGAGAGTTTTTCACTGCTGTCACCTCTTGTGAGTGGCGTTGTTCCAACCCGAGGTAAGTATACGTCTCTCCTGCAACCAGATGGTGTAGGATGCTTCCATCTACGAGCTGCATATCCTCTCCGTAGTCCCCGCATCGTCCTCTTTTGAGATGGATCATTACATTATTATCATTATTATTATTTCCATTTTCAGTTACCCTCAACTTTGAATAATTGTTCATTTCGTTAACGATTCTAAGAAACTATGACATTTCAGTGTCCAACTCATTTCGTTGAACTAGAGTTTGACACAATGTACTAATATTCTTCGCTTTTTCATATGCTGCTCAGATAAACGTTGAAGGTACTCATCTTGCCATAACTATGAGTGAAATCAATGATCTGTTACTCAAATATATTACCTAATCCAAGTCCTACAGGTGCTACACCATAAGCTATAGGAGCGGCTACTTTGGTTACAATAGGGGCGGCAACGGCTACTTTGCTGACAACAGCTGTCGGGTTCAAGGCGAGTAAATTGCTATTTTGGTAAGAGCTTGCTCCGTGAGCAACAGCTACTGCTGGAGCAGCAACTGCCACGACTCCATGTCCGATTCCCAAACCATCTCCAAGTCCATATCCCCCATGTCCTCCATATCCTCCATATCCTCCACTGATGACTCCAGCTCTTGCAGCCGAGACGAGGGCGACAACAACGATCTTGAATAAATAAAAATTATTTTCTTGTTGTTGACCATTTTTCTCTTGTATCAACAGTATTGAATCACACCGTGATTTTCGAATAATACCTATGAGAATTTACAAAATTGATAAGATAAAACTCGAAACAATTAATTTATGAAAGTGCAGCTCCAATAAATATATACGATATTCTGAACTTTCGGAGTTTGGGGGAAATGCAGAGTGGGGGGGCTTCAACGCGGTGAAGACTTGGAAGTGAAGTATTAGAAAAAATATTTTTGAAAATTAACGACTGACATATGTTTACGAAATGATTGAATAAAATTTGCAAAAATACAACATGATATTTATTTCCATTGATTTTCTGTTTTCCAAATTTGAACTTACCAGTTTGAACATTTTGATTGGATAGTTAGTTGCTTCTACACTGTTGCTAGAATGATAATTGTCCATTTGATGGTCTATTTTATATCAAACCAGCCCCACTGAAACAAACGATTCAAAAGTAAAACATATTCGTTGTAACTAGAGCAATGTCCTATCACAATTGCCTCAAGGAGGGTAACTAAATTTTTAAATGCATTCCTCGACACTGCTTTCAAATGAAAAATAGTCTTTATTACACCGTTGAATGATTACAGGAGGTAATTTTAATCTGTACCCGGTGTTCACTTGACCGATATTTCATTTTTGTCGTTCCTGTCGGTTTACGCTAAAATTGTTATTCATTAGCAAACGAGATTATTGTGAAATAAATTATCAGTTTCAATTAGGGAATATGTATCTCGAAATATTCTTCTATCGTCTACAGTTTGTTTTCCGGTTGATATAATAATATTTTTCAAACGCTAATTTATTCAGAAATATGATGTTTCTACTCTAAAAGTGTCGTTCTTGAACAAATAAATTTTTTAATGGCAGCAATATTCGAATGTGGTGTGTCTGATACAAAATTAATTTCAATTTGATTTTTGGTTTCTACTAATTTGGACGAACCGTTTAAAAGTTATCACGATAATGTTAACGTGACGTAACGCACTAGTGGCAGAGTTTATTTTATACATAATACCGATTGAAATTTTTTCAAAAACTACACCTCACGATTTGATCTCCACAAACTTTATTTGAAAAATATACAGGGTGGGGCACCGAAAACGAAACAGATCGAATGTTTCACGTATAGTCAGAGGGCATACTTGAAGACTGGCTATAAATAAAATCATTTAAAGAACAATTCGTTCAGGCCAGTTTCAACACCCTACACAGTAGGTTAATGTACTGACACCTATCAGAAAACACTGACGCCCTCGGATATAATCCAACTCCTTTCGGGGTATTAGCCATGGGAGTAGTTGTTTTCTGATCGGATATACCTACTGTGTAGGTATATCCGAGACTGGCTTGAACGTTTAACGTTCATTTCTTTAGATTTGTTTACTGCCAGTCTTCAAGTATGCCTACTGACTATACGTGAAAGATTTCTTTCCTTATACGAGGAATTGGGCAAATTTCGGATATGCAGTTGGTTACCTCGTTCACAACAGATCGAATGTCTTCAAAACACATGTGTTCTGAAAAAAATTCAAAAACACGTCGATTTGTAATCCAAGGGGAACATCTTCCTATCATAACCTCAACTGCCATACCTCTTCCCCCACCCCTCGGTGACTATCACCCAAACAATTTGAATAGGGAAAATAGTAAGTGTCACAAATCGTTAAAAAGGTAATTTCATAAGGAATTCAGCCATGTCAATTTTAGCTTACTAACTTTCGATTTTGGCGTCTTTCTTCGGAAAAAAAACGGTTCCATATTCCAAATTATGATACTTCATTCGCAAGCTTATTTGACATAAATTCGGTGACAATGCATTATGGAGTTTTTCTAGGGGAAAAAACAAGATGGCGGCTTCACAATGGCGGACAAGGTTTGCAATTATGGTCCGATTTGATTCAAAATTGATAAGTGGTGGTTTTCAGGGTCGAAAATTATAAATTGTTTTTCAATGCAGAAAATCAAGATGGTGGCTCCAACATGGTGGACAAAATTTGTAATTATGGTTCGATTTAACCCGACACCGGAAACAAATTCTTCAAAACACATCTGTTGTGAACATAATGCAAAAACACGTCAATTTTAAATCCAATGGGGACAAATCTAATCGTTACCTCAACTGTCAAACTTCTCTCCCCACCCCTAGTTTACTCATACAATTTGATTAGGGAAAGTACTAAGGGTGACACAGCATTGAAAAGGTAATTCCATAAGGAATTCAGACACGTGAGTGTTCGCTACTTAACTTTTCATTTTGTCGCTCTATTGCAGGAAAAACAACTGTTTCGTTTTTCAATTCACATTTTATTTGAAAGGTAATGTGAATAATTCACGAAAAAAGAACGAAAATTGAAAAAAAAATACATAATCTAATCAAACTACTTTAATTCACAGTAGATGCTCAAAGTGTTCGCCATGAACCGTTTTCGGTGCCCCACCCTGTATATCACAACATGTTTCGCTAACACAGTAGCTTAATCAAGTGATTTGAATACTTCAAGTTGTTTCATACACTGATATTTATATACTACGGGTAGCCATAATTGAGACTACCTCCAAAAAATTACTTAAACCTCTACCTATGGTACCTGTTCCAATGGGGAATATTCCTCAATTTGGGTTATTACAGCAAATGCAAGTTCGAACAAGATAAAGTTGAGTTTGATTCATGAGTTTTTTTAAATTTACTTCGAAAAGTATTCAAATTGATGTTTCAAATGTTCGGTTTTAATTATTGATGAGATTTGTTTCTAATTCACATAATGAAAACAGGTGGCAAAGCCCAAAGCGATACCAATGACAGGTTCTGGTCCAATGAAGCCGCCTTGCAGCACCCTTCTTTGCAGCTTCATTGCCTTCCAGGCCAGTATGGCCAGGAATCCAGACCAGAGACAATATGTTTAGTCTTCCTATCGAGGAGAGTTTTTTTTGGCAGTTTGTTACCAATTTAGACGTTGCTCGGTGGGATCCAAGAGCTTCCAACGCCGCTTGACTGTCCGAGAATATTTTTATTGACTTGTGAGTGAGGTTGGATTTATCCAATCTTTCCGCACACAATTCAATAGCGTAAATTTCTGCTTGAAATACAGTCGCGTAACTTCCTAGGCAGGTAAATAACTCTGTCCTGGGTCTGCGACTGAAAACACCTGCACCAGAACCGGAAGGTGTTTTTGATCCATCTGCGAACCAACAACTATCTTCTCTTTATATTTCCTTCTTCCGCATGATCCAGTCCTCTCTACTCGGGAATAGTACTTTATAAGGCAGTTCGTAGTTGACAGTTGGAGGCATAAAGTCAGAGGTCATTTCCAGAATGCTGTGACTTCCAATGTCAACCAGCAGTCTGTTGCACTCTGCATTGAATTGATTTGTGCAATTGGCAATGTTCACAAGTCTATATGCAGTCCATCTAGCCTCTCTTTTCAGGAAAATGTGGAGAGGAGGTAGATCTAGAAGGATCTCCATGGCCGCTAGAGCTTCGCTTGGGCCGTTTTCTATAAAGCCTTCGGCCACCAAGCAATTGCACCATACGTGATCATTGGTCTGACAATCATCACATAAATCCAATGGATTTGTTTGGGACCTAAACCCCAAGTTTCACCACAAATCCTTCGACATGTCCATAGAGACAGTCTGGCTTTGTGTAAAACTTTTTCCAAGTGAGCGTTCCAGGTGTGTCTTTTATCAAGGACAATGCCAAGATATTTCACCTCCGTTCCAAATGGAATGACCACACCATTGAGGGAAAGTGGCGTTAGATCTTCCAGTTTCCTTCTCTTGGTGAAGTTGATTAATACAGTTTTGCTGGGGTTGACAGACATCTGCTTCCTCAGGCACCAACTGAGAACAACGTCCAACGCGCTTTGGAGGATATTACAAGCTACCCTTCCCGACGTGGACCTTTCCAGGATGACAAGGTCGTCTACATGAGCTTGCAGATCAAGTTTTCTTCTGTCGAGGGCATCAAGCAGGCTATCCACCAGGAGTGACCACAGAAGGGGAGGTAGTACCCCACCTTGAGGACAGCCCCTGGTGACCTTGAACCTGATGGCCTCGCCTTGAAGAGTCGTAGTTGCAGTTCTGTTTACTAGCATGGCATAGATCTAGCCAGTTATGCTCAATAGGTACTCACTCATACAATATTGAATAGCATCAGCAGAAAAAAACTGAAAGGATCAGAATGAAATACATTGGTTATCCTACTAATCCTACTCTTAATAATATTATAAATGCGTAGAGTTTGTGAGGATGGATGAATGTAATGTATGTATTTACAACTCAACGGATTCAAATGTAAGTTGGTATATAGATATAGCATAACACATAGGGTATATTCCCAGCGGGGAACAGCTAGTATTGTATAAGTGGGTACCTATTGATTGACTGACACTCTTATATTAACGTACATCCGAGGCTACTGTACCTAGAATCTTGAAATATGGCAGTAATTCATATTTTTACTTAAATATGCCAAATGAACTAAGTAATGAATGCCTTCGAGAATCGAATTATGTTAACTATGAAGAAATTTGCAAAACAAAGACAACCGTCAACGACGTCTGCCTTCACGCGTTTGTCCGCGTTCGGGTCGCGTTCTCGGCGACGGCGCTTCCTTGCTTAGACCGCCCCTCTATCTCCGCGCATCGTCCACCGTCGTCTCACAGTAGACGCGATGCGTAGTGGCTTACTGCATTGCGACAAGTTAACCTTATCGTAATCATTTTTAAACGATTCATTCAAATTACTTAATGTAAAAGACACAGTTTATTTATATTAAATACCTGAAAAGACAATTGTATCAATTTTTATAAGAATTTGACAGATATTCTAAAATGTGCATATTGGAGACACGAACATCACTTGCAGCCTTGATAGCCTGGAACATCGAAGAATGGTTCGAAATTTGTCTCTCTTTTATAGATACTTTCCCAGAAAGGGTTCAAGTGACTTAGCAGATTTGATTCCACCAAGAGCGGTATATATCAGAAATACGCGACTGTCTGTGGCTGCTCATCGTTTTGAGGTTCAACTCAGTACACCTTGAACTTCACTGTTCAAGAACTCTTTCGTTTGGAGAACTGCGTTCATGTGAGATAAACTTCCTGAGAATGTTTTCTCGAATGGATTTCATCTGCAGCGATTCAAATCCAATGTGAATCGCTACTTTCGCACAGGCACCGCTTGTAGAGCGCCTGAAGGATTTTCCAGTAGTGCTTGTTTTGTCCTTAAAAAATTACTCCAATGTAAAGAGAGGACAATTTGAAACTCATTTCAATGGATTTGTTTTAGGTGTCTAGGTGGTTTCGTCACGGTCAGATATTTTACACTGGGTGAAAGTAGAACTGGAGCATTTGAAATGAATGTCCAAGACGTCCGCCTTCCATATATCACACAATCATTAAAAATGCCT